GCCTTGACGCAATTGCCATCGGTCGCGAAACCTGCTAAAATACACTAAGAAGGAAGGTGAAACAGAGGGTGAGACGTCACTTGAAAAAGCCGGCGAAATAGGACAAGCCACGGAGGAGCCAAACAAACGAACAGAGCCAAACCAAGGAAAGCCAAGAAGGACAGCGAACAAACAAACCGAGAACAGAAAAAGGATTTTGCCAGCACGCGAAAGTGCATGTTGAAATTAATTACGGACGGAAAGGGAGCATCAAATGCACAGGCTACACGCGAAAGAGAACCATGAGGCTGAGCGGGCAGTGGAAGTCACATTGATGCGTTCCATTCACGGCAACCTTTAGTAAAAGGCGAAGCGAAAGATTGGTGCGCTATAAAGTGAACGCTGTGAATTTGCAGGGCCGGCTTGTCACCGCTTGTCACCGCTTGTCACCGCTTGTCGCTTGTACTGGGGCGCTTTTAAATGGAAAAAGCAGCCATTACACAGCAGCGGAGGAAAATGTCAGCCACTGCTCTGCCAGGTCACGGTTTGCGTCACCCCGTGACACAGCTTTTGTAATTCCGCGGCTTCGGTCTAAAAGCAAAGCGGAATTCTTTCCACCGAGCCTGGCCCCCTGGAGCGCCAGGCGTGTGGCTGCAACAACGACCCCAAGATACGCTTGCAATTTGGCTCCAGGTAAAGCTTGACATCGCTTGAAATGCAACCTGGAGCCAAATTGCGGCGCCTATCTCGGGGTCGTTGTGTTGCAGCCACACGCCTGCACGAGCGCTTTAGGTTTTGAATCCTTCGCAGAACGGTCGTTTCCGGACGGACGAGTGCTAGGAGCCTACCAGGTGCAAAAGACTCCATTTGAAAAACTCCCTCTAAAGAGAGAGGCTGCGCAGCCTCAACTTGCTCCTTTTTTGCACAAACTTGCTCCATTTTTGTCGCAATATTGCCATAGCCTTTAACAAGGCAGCCTGCGGTTGTCCGTTCGCCGGGCGAACTTGGACAAGTGGCTCTGCAAGGGAAAACACGTGATAAAATTTGTCCAAGTTCCTTGTCCAAGTTCTTGTCCAAGTTCGGGTTCCGCCCGGGGTGAGGCACACGGAATCGGGCCCTGCCTGGAATCGGGGCCTGCTTGGGATCGGGGCGTAAAACTAAGAGAGCTTGTAACAAGGCAGCCTGCAGTTGTCCAAGTTCCTTGTCCAAGTTTGTGAATCGAAATTTGCACCTATAGGTCCATTGAGACTGGATGACTCTTAGTTGCATGCTGCTGAGGCCCATCCGAATACCTAAGGACCCCCGACTAAGTTTTGGGACCCCTTGATGGTGTTTTGTTGGGTTGAGGTTGAGCTTGAGACCCCTTGTACAGCTTTGAGAAGACTGGGACTTGAGTTGAGAAGAGTCTGACTTGAGTTGATGCCGGTTGTGACCTTGTTTTTGCACCTGTGAAGCTTGGCAGACACCTTGAGACGGTTTTTCCACGTTTTGAGACTCTGTGTGATGTGTTCGTTGTGGCTGGAGCTGAGTTGTTTGTTTTTGGACTCCACTGAAACTTGTGTTTGTGGCAACATGGCTCAAGGTCTAGCTGGGAAGCCCCTTAGGAGCACCCCGGACGCGCCTGTGCAGGTACCGCAACTGAGAGTAGCGACTAGGAGCTACGTGCTTCGAGTCCGAGAGAGAAAAGAAGCTGAGAGGGCATTTGGAGTGCCTAGCTGTGTGAGAGAAGAGAGTGAGCTACCACTGGGGAACTCTGCCTGTGAGTTTTTACATGGTAGCGGAGCTCCTGGAAGACAGGAGCTACCGAAGATGATGCCTGGTGATGCAAAGAGCAATGCAAACCCGCCTGACGATGTGGACTCACTGGACGGTGAACCAGGAGATCCAGGAAGACCTTCAGCGACACCTGGAGGCGATGCGAGAAGTGAAGCAAAGAAGGTAGAAGACCTGACTGAACTGGTGAAATCAACTCTACAGATCCTGCAACAGCAGGGACAGATGATGATGAACCTTATGCAGATGCAAGTAGAACAAAGGAACCAAACAACTGGAAGTGCACAAAGAAATACCGGAGAGACCACAGCAACTGCAACTGGTAGTATCGCGACAAGTGGAGAGACAGCAGCTGGAAGATCTATGGATCAGAAGTGGCTACCGTCTCTTCCGGTGGCAAACTACAAGAATTGGCAGAACAGAGTTCAAGAGATTTCGGGATTTGTGACATGGCTTGAGAATTTTACAGCATGGGTATCACTGTTGCACGAGAACTATGCCACGGAGATCAGAGCGGTTGTAACAGGAAACCCCAACGAGAGTTACTTGCACAACAGGATGACCCCCGACCAGATTTTGAGAAGTCAAAGACTCCTTCATCTTCTGCGACAGTCTTTTTCTGGATACACCAGGGTTGAACAGATCTTGAAGCACATGGAGGCCGAGTTTCCTTTGCAGGAGTGTAGCGGGTATGAAGCTATTAAGAGACTGCTGAGAGAGTTTTCACTGCAGAGCAGATCAGAAGCCTTGCATTACCGTCAGCAAGTTATGGCGTTTGTGGCACCTTCAAGCGACAGAGTTTTGGAGATCATTCGTAGTATTGAGTCCGAGGTGCACCAGTTCCATACTATGTTGAAGGGATGCAGAACCAAGGCAAGTGTAGAGGATCTGTTTCTAGGTGAGCCAGATTTGCAACTGATCTATCTGAGGAGCCTACCTGCTGAAGTACGAGCATACGCACAACTGCATTCGAGTGGAGATTCGGTTGAAGAGCTCAAGGCAGCAATTATCACTTATGACACACGGACACGCGTTTTGGGTGACACTGGTGGAAAGGTCAACCACATGAATGACAAGAAGCAGAACAAGGGAGACAAGGGCAAAGGTAAAGGAGACAAGGACAAAGGCAAAGGCAGAGGCAAGGGCAAAAAGGGAGACAAAGGTAAAGGCAAGACTGGAAATGACGGGAAAGGCAGCAACAAAGACAGTGGCAAGGGACAGGGAGGATCTTCTTCTAGGTCTTCCACTCCACTGCGTGATGTGGTTTGTCACAATTGCGGCAAGAAGGGACACTATGCAAGGGATTGCTGGGCACCCAAGAAGAACAAAGGTGGTGGCAAGTCGAGAGCAATGGAACATGGTGACGGAGAGAACACTGAGGGATCTGCAACGGCCAGTAGCGAAGTGATGATGGCACTGCGGGCTTCGGCCCATGAGGAGCAACATCAGGGAGATCATCAACTGAGTGCAGCAGTTAGGTCAGTTGGTTTTTTTCGCGTTAGTGCTAGTCAGGAGCATGAGAAGGTGTGTGCAATTGAGCCTCCTCATGTGTTAGGAAGGCTTTGGCTGGTAGATTCAGGTGCGACGTGCCATGTTGTTGCCACCAAGTTTCTGTCTTGGTTCACGATTGTGAAGGTGTACCCCAACGAGCCCAGCTTGACTAGCGCATCCGACCATGAGATCAAGACCCGTGGGATGGTGGACTTAAGAGTGCCATTCAAAGGTCGCATGTGCTTGATGTCGAAGGTTGTTGTTGCTGACATTTCCTTCAATGTGATTTCTCCTTTTGCCCTGTCAACCACTGGTTGGGAGACCATTCTGGGGAAGCCTACCAAGAGTAAGCTCAAGAAAGGCAATTTGACGATCCCTTTGAAAGTGATCGACCGAGGATGGTGGGCGACCTCAGAAGTGGCAGAGAGAGATGGACCGACCCCTATGGAGTTGGACAGAATGAAGAAGTTGTCAGATCCAGAAGCGGTGATGGCCATTGTGGATGGCTTGAGAGAAGTAAGACAGAAGGGAACTTCTGCCAAGCAGCCAACGAAGTGCCTGAGCTTGTCGGAAGATGTCCGAACAGTTGTGGTTGAGGAAACAGTTGCTGGAAGGAGTTGTGACGCCGGTGATGCTGGAAATCTCACGAGCACGCAAAAGGAAAAGTTACCTGATCAGAACGCTCCGTCCCGTCCGGTAAGGAAGTTGGCGGAGTGTAAACCGAAGCCGATCCTCAAGAAAGCAAGTTTTAACGAATTAGAGAACTCAGTGTTGTCGTACTTGGTCCGCAGCGTTTGTAGTGCGATGGAGGTCCCGGGCCCTCAGAGTGAAGCTTCAAACGAAACTAAGGGAACAAAGGAAGGCCCCAGTGCTGTCGTTGGTGATGAGGACACCTGCCAGCAGACATGTGTGTGTGACGTGCATGCGGGTGAGCCGTATCTGCGTGCGACAGGTTTGCATGTGGAGGCTGAGAAGGTAGGTGCGGAGATCCCCTCTTCGGAGAGGGGTGTGTCGGTTCATCTGGGGGAGTGTAAGGGTGTGTTCCCACTGAGGCCCGACCTCGGCCTGGAGCCCAGAGTGATGCGGAAGGATTCAGAGGCTTTACATGAGGTGACAGGTAGAGGCTTGCCAGAGCATGAGCTGTGTAGGAGTGCGATTGTGAGTAGGACCCAGCAGGAGGCAGGATCAGGTCGTGAGGTGCCTGAGGTCTTAGGAGCGTGCGTGCTGAGTGAGGCAGGTCAGGTGAGGGCTGTAGTAGATGAACAGGCAGGTAGCATGAGGCAGGTTTGTGTGTCCGCCCTGTCGTCCGCTCAGAAGGTGGCAACGGCCTCAGATGGGATGGAGACAGAGGGGACCCCAAACCCTAAAGGATCTAGGAATGACAACAAGAGCCCAATCAAAGTCAGTTTGCGGTTGGATTGCATGGAAGTGAGTGGTGTTCAACATGGAGTGTGTGTGCACGACATGAGCCTTGACGGTGAGAGTTGTGCTGATGAAGACATGTGTATGGAGACCTTTGAGCAGTATGAGGGACAAGAGTGGCATTTGATGCCACCCATGGTTGAGACAAGAGGCTATGGAGATTGCTCGGCGTGTGAAGTGACGTGTCGAGTGAAGGGATCAGGAACACGGAGATCCGGACGCTTGGATGCCAATAGCCAGACCGGGAAGGTAACCGATGCTCAGACGGCTTCGCCGAAGTCCGGCTGTGCTTTTCCAGGGGGGGGGGTCATTCAGGTAGAGCAGAGGCCTGGGGAGGGCATCTCAGGTCAAACGACAACGACTACCGGTTCAAGAACATCGGCCCGATCAGGAGAAAGCCCGCGGAGAACCAGCGGTGATCTTGATCTACCAGGAGGTGTTGGGCCGGGGGCTGGTAGGAAGGGCACCCCAAACCCTAAGTGGAGAAGCATAAATGAGATGTGCCATGGGAGAAATTCCAGGGTGTGGCAGAGGCCACGTGGAAAGGTGAGTGGAGCAGGTGAAGTGAGACACAGGCTGCGAACCTTGAGAGGTTTGCCAGTGGAAGTGGATTTGACTGACGAGTCAAATGGGCCAGCGTCCGCGCGCCCAGATAGTGAAATGGGGGAACCTGAGCAGTCTGCGTCCGCGCAGCCAGAGCAGAACTCAGGAGCATCAGGGTCCGCCCCGCCGAGTGAGGTGAGAGGGCCTGTGGTCTCAGGGCCACCGCATGAACCGTCTAATGGAGGGAGCCAAGATGTGCCAGATGAAGTCCCTTTGGAGGACATGTTTGGAAGCGACATCCAGGGAAGAGCCTTGGAGAAACACCTGAGTCAGGGGCATTGGCCCTATAGCAACGAGTGCCCGTCATGTAGGAAAGCTCGTGGACGAATCCCTGCCAGGAGACGTGAGACAGATGACCACTTTTCGGTAGGAGTGGATTTTCTGTTTTTTGGGAGACACATTCGAGTTTTGCTGATGATTGTTATTGGCACGAGCATGATGTTCTGCAGTGTGATCAAAGATGACCATGCGACCAATGTGCGACATGTAGTAGAAGGGCTGATTGAGATAGGTGCTGGAGGCAAACAGGTGGAACTGGTTGGAGACCAGGATGACACACTTGTGAAGCTGTTTCGGGATGCCGGCCAGGCTGTCAAGTTTCCAGGTTTGGGAACGCACTGGAGGCAGGCGCCGCTGAGCAGGCCTCAGGCGAAGGCGCACGTGGAGAGAGGAGTTAGGAGCGTGAAGGAAGGCTTCTACGCGGTGTGGCTCGACCTGGAGTCGTCGCTCGGCTGCAGGATCGCGCTGGAAGCCCCTCTGTTTGAATTTGCCATTCAGTATGTGGTGCGCACCTATAACATCTGCCATCAACCAAACAATTCCACCATGACGCCATTGGACCGCATGAGGAATCAGGCAGGCTCGAAGAGACCAGAAACGTTTCCCTTTGGCGTTTTGGGCTATGGGAAACCCCCCAACGTGGCGAGGTACCGAGGCATGAGATTGGTGCCCATGGTGTACTTAGGCCCCAAGAGCTCGACAGGTTGTGGCCTGCTTGGTTTGCCTTTGGAAATAGTAGGACCAGAGAGTGAGAGACGGATTGATGTGTTCTCTGCGTTTCGCCCAGGGAGACCGTTGGAATGGAAGAAGGAGACTCTTGAGCCTCTTTGTATCCCACCAAGGATGAACCAGGAAGGGGGCTACCCTGCTTTGCCTTCAACGTCCATTCCAGGTCCACCAATAGACAGGAAGTTCTTGAAGAGACGGAGGTCTGAGGATGGCCCTGAGAGGCCTGAAGACGTTCCAGAATCGCCGATGATTGCTCCTGAGGAGCCTGTGCCATTGGAAGGGCCAGGTGAAGGAGAAATGGATTTGGATGATGAGTCCATGTACGAGCCATCTGAGAGTGGCGGAATGCAAATTGATGATGGCGATCTGGAAGACATGCTGATTGAGAGCTTGCATCGACAACTGTATTTGGAATTCATGAGTGACGAGCGACTAAGGTTCATCGAGGGCATGCCATCTGTGACCATGGACACGGCTGTTTCGTGGTTTGAGGTCATGTTTGGAGGTGAACAGGTTGTGGTTCTCGTGCCTGATGGGGTTGTGGATGAAATGACCAATGAGAAACTGCAACATGAACAGGTACATGAGGGCATGAAAACCGAAGTAGAATCACTGGAGAAGCTGCGTGTGGGACAAGTGGTGGACGAGAAGACCGCCAAACGTCTTGCAGCAGAAGCCGGAGTGAAGATCCTTGGCAGCAGATGGGTGATATCGCAGAAAACGCCCGAAATTGTTAGGTGCCGGCTTGTAGTGAAGGATTTTCGAACCTACGGCGGCCCGGCCTTGCTAGAGGGGATTTACAGCCCCACCTCGACGGTGGAAGCACTGAGGTTCGTTCTTGCATATGGGGCCGAATACAAGTGTCATTTTTCTGGCCTGGATGTGAGCACGGCGTTCATGTATGCACCGCTGAAAGAGGGCGAAAGGGCGGTTGTGAGACTGCCTAGCTCAGTGGTTCGCAAAAGAGGTGACAGAGCGTTTCTGTCATTGTCTAAGGCGATGAACGGCCTGAGACAGGGGCCACTGCGGTGGTACGAAGAATTGACCAACACACTCATGGAAAACCATGCGGAACCAACTTTCGAGGCCACTTTGTTTCGAATGGAGTTCGAAGGAGGCTATTCAGGTCTGGTTCTGGTTTATGTCGATGACGTGCTTGTGTGTGCGCAACTCAAATGGCACTGTGATGTCGTTGTGGAGTTGTTGCAGTCAAGATATCAAGTGAAGCGGACAGGAGATTTGTTTCCTGAGCAAATAGGCCAGTTGAAATTTTTGGGACGAACAATCGCCCGCCTGTGCCAGGCTGGTCCGATCTGCCTAGGTTTGGAGACGGAGTACTTGGAGGGCGTGATCCGCAGCTTCGGAGAGCGCCTCAAGCCGAACGAGACACTGCCTGATCTGGAGCGGCTCTACGACAAGGAGAGCAAGAAGTACCAAGGCAAGGACAAGAGTGCGGCCACCTTGACGGCAGAGGCTTACCAAAGGTACAGGAAGGTGCTAGGGCAACTTGCTTGGGCATCAATCACCCGTAGTGATTTGCAATATTGTGTAGGCTTTTTGTCAAGGTACCAACAGAACCCAGATCAGTTTGCTGAATCCTGCATGAGGGCCATTTTGCGGTGGTTGCTCAGTAGGTTGACAGTTGTGCAGACGTTTCCATCAGAGAATGTCGAATGGGAATTTGCGAATGGACCGTGTGAGCAGATCATGGGGTACTGTGATGCTTCGTGGAATTTGAGTTCTGTCACAGGGTTCCTGTTGTTTTGGCGAGGAAGCATGCTGAAGTCAGGATCGCGCAAGCAGGCTGTCCCTGCGCTCAGCAGTCCTGAAGCTGAGGTGGTCGCTTTGGCTGAATCAGCCAAGGAGGGACTGAGCATGGCGTGTTTAGTGGAAACTGCTTTGTATGGGATCAAGAAAACGATCCTTGGAGAGCCAGAGCAACCAATTTCCCAGATTCAAGTGGTTTTGAAGACTGACTCGACGTCTGCGCAGTGCATTGCGCAAATGAAGGGTTTGCTGCGCAAAGTGAGACACTTGCAACTGAGGGTTGTGTTTCTCCAACATTTGGTGGATTCAGGCCAGTTGGTAACGAGAAGAATTCCAGGTAAAGAGAACCCTGCAGATGGTCTCACGAAGACCATGACACATGAGATGATGCAGAACTTGTGCAGTGCTGCAGGTTTGATTTCGCTTGACAAGTTTCCGGAGAAGGCCAATTTGATGAACCGAAAGGACACCCCAAGTCCTAAGAATTTGTTGGGGACCAGTGAAGTGTCTGATAAGGAAGCCACCCCAACTCCTAAGGATGCGTGCCCGCGACAGGAAGGCCCGCAGCCACAGGATCTCAAGGTGTGGTCGACGGCTATAGCAGCTACGACAACCAAGACAAGACACGCTGGCCACGTGAAGTTTGACAAGGTAGAGATCTTCGAGATCGACTTCGCTTCGAGCCTTGGATTTGAGAACTTAGTGCTGACAGGGCCATACAAGGCATGGAACCATGAAGCCATGAAGTTTCAAGGTCAGGTGGATCTGTGTCTTTTTGAGGTGTGCTGTTCAGAGGAATCTGGACTCAAGGGTTGGGCTGGTAGGCAGAAGAGTAAGATGGTGGCCTACTTTGGAGTGACGAAGGAGAGGTCGTTGTTGGGGAACAGAACCCAAAACTGGATCAAGGCTGTCCTGGGGACGTGCCAACATGCGAAGGTACCAGTAGTGTGCCACTTCTCCACTCCATGCACTGTAGGTTCGCCAATGAGACATTTGAATTTTCATTTGTTTCCGCACTACAAGAAGGTGTGGAAGCGCAAGATGCATGTGCACCGGGAGATGTGGAAGGCCATTCATGAGGTTTTTGGACCTTGGAAACAGTGCTGCTTTGTGCAGGAGTGGCCTATACAAACCATGTTGTGGACTGAAAGAGTTTACACGAACATGTCTGCTGGATTCAACATGCAGTTTTGGGTCCAGGTCGACAGATGTGTTTTTGACTCTGTGTTCAAAGAGTGGTGCATTGTGTCGAATCGAGAAGCGGTTACTCAGTCCTTGCATGGGCTGAGATGCACAGGAGACCATGAGCATAGACAGATGTCACAAACAGCCAAAGGGTTTTATCCTGAAGGTATGTGCAATCGTCTCGGCCAGGCGTTTCTACAGACTGCCTGAGAACTAAGGCGATGCTAGAGGCCGTGGTGGTTGCTGCAATGATTGCCTTGTGGACAATTGGCTTGTGTACCGGACTGTGCATGGCAAGATGCTGGTCAGTGAAGCATGTCCCAACGGGGTGGAAGAGCATCCCAAATCCTAAGAAGAATGATCTGCGCACTGGAGATGTGTGGATTTGTAGCATGAAGGCTGAGTGCTATCATGTTTCACAGAACTGTCCTCACTTGAAGAAGAGAGGACCAAAGGCCTATAGAGCCTGCAAAGACTGTGCTTTTTCTGGGTGAACCAACTGGATAGTGGGAAGTTGCCTGTGGTTTTTGCACCCGCTGTCCAACCCAGGCTATAGAGGAGCGATGCAGGAGTGCCCGTTTTACCGCAAAAGTGGTTGTGCACTTCGTGTCGGGTTTGCATGTCAGTGATGCTGGTTGCGCATCGGTGATGAGCTGTTGAAGCTCCTGAGATGCATGCTTGGTGCTTGAATATGAGCATGAAGCGTGTTTGTGAGCTGAGGATGAGCATGGTATAAGAGTCAAGAGGGGGTGTGAATCGAAATTTGCACCTATGAGGTCCATTGAGACTGGATGACTCTTAGTTGCATGCTGCTGAGGCCCATCCGAATACCTAAGGACCCCCGACTAAGTTTTGGGACCCCTTGATGGTGTTTTGTTGGGTTGAGGTTGAGCTTGAGACCCCTTGTACAGCTTTGAGAAGACTGGGACTTGAGTTGAGAAGAGTCTGACTTGAGTTGATGCCGGTTGTGACCTTGTTTTTGCACCTGTGAAGCTTGGCAGACACCTTGAGACGGTTTTTCCACGTTTTGAGACTCTGTGTGATGTGTTCGTTGTGGCTGGAGCTGAGTTGTTTGTTTTTGGACTCCACTGAAACTTGTGTTTGTGGCAACATGGCTCAAGGTCTAGCTGGGAAGCCCCTTAGGAGCACCCCGGACGCGCCTGTGCAGGTACCGCAACTGAGAGTAGCGACTAGGAGCTACGTGCTTCGAGTCCGAGAGAGAAAAGAAGCTGAGAGGGCATTTGGAGTGCCTAGCTGTGTGAGAGAAGAGAGTGAGCTACCACTGGGGAACTCTGCCTGTGAGTTTTTACAAAGTTCCCCGGCGAACTTGACAAGTGCCTTTGCGGAATCGGGCCCTGCCTGGAATCGGGGCCTGCTTGGGATCGGGGCGCAATACTGGGACAGCTTGTAACAAGCAGCCTGCGGTTGTCCAAGTTCCTTGTTCAAGTTCCCCGGGCGAACTTGGACAAGTGGCTCTGCAAGAGGAAAACACGTGATAAAATTTGCCCAACTTTCTTGTCCAAGTTCTTGTCCAAGTTCAGGTTCCTCCTGGGGTGAGGCACACGGAATTGGGCCCTGCCGCTGCCTGGAATCGGGGCCTGCAGTACGCCAAAATGCCCTTCGTCACCATTGATGTACCAAAAGTGCGCGGCCTCCATGGCCCGCTGGTGCGAGAGCCTGGACTGCACCTTCACAGCCACGAGCGGCGGAGTGTCGACGGGAGCACCGACTTCTCGGACGATCTCTTCTTGACGAAGAACTGGGCGGGCTGGAGCAGCATCCCGTCACTTGCCACCAGCAAAGTAGGCATGAAGGCCCCTTCCATGTCACAAAAAGGGCTTGATGAAGTCATGCCGCTTGCCTAGAGTCCTTGCATGGAAAGGCGCGGGTCGCGGTCAGGTGGCGAGTCTGTTGCACCACACAGTTTCCCGGAAGCTGCACCCCGTGGTTGTCCTTGGCGTGACCAAGGAAGGACATTTTCACCTTGGTGTCCCGGAATCCGGCTTCCCCAGATGCAGTACATCTCGCAGAACCGGGGCGTCGCAGAGATGGCCCTGGTCGTAAGACGCAGCTCGCAAACGTCTTGAAGCCGTAGAGCCAAGCAGCCACCTCGCCGCGCTCCCCCTCATCCGAAGCCAAGGGTTGTCCTGCAGCACCTTGCTCGTCCAGTTTGCGAAACCACCCCCAAAGCCCAGCAATCATCAGCTCCTTCGCCACGCGCGGGCCTTGGGCAGCTTGTGGAAGAGCACGGCCGATCTGCGCGAGCTTCTTCTCACGGTGGTCAGGTTCTCCGCCATGATGGCGGCAGCGGCTTCTGTCGGTTCAAGAGCTGGAAGAACGAGTTCAGGGGAGGCCCTTCTAGAGGTTTCGGTTTTTGCTACAGGTTGTGGACCTCGTTTTGGGGAGCGGAAAGTGGCTCAAGTTTTGGAAGGTGGCAGGTCGCTTGTTCTCTGGGTGTTGGCTTAAGGGCGCGCGCACCGCAAGTCGGCCGGAGTGGCTGGCTTGTTGGTTGGTTGGTTGGTTGGTTGGTTGGTTGGTTGGTTGGTTGGCAGGTTGGGCTGATTGGCTGGCTGGCTGGCCGGTCCGTCGGTCGGTCAGTCGATGGGTTGGCTGCTTGGTTGGTTGGTCGGTTGAGGTTGGCTTGTTGGTTGAAGGCGTGTTGGTTGACTGTGATTGGGCGGGCGTGAGTTGATTGACTGGCTGTCCAGCAGGCTGTGGTTTAGGCAAGTGCTTTGCCGCGCGCCGAATGTTTGAAGCATGTTTTGTGTAGTTGCTCTGGGGCGTTTGAGGCTGCTTTGAGGCGGTTTTGTTCATGATTTTCACTGGTTTGTGTTTGCAGTGGTTTGAGGCTGCGCGTGGCCTGAGTGAAGGTTTGAAGTGCTTTCCACTTACGCTGGTTTTGATGCCTGGGGACTCTTGTTCATGTTTTGTGTAGCTACCGTTTTGAGGCCGAGGTTTAAGGCGCTTTTGCTTTGTCCGTGCTCTGGGGTGTTTCATGAGGCTGCTTTGAGGTGGCTTTGTTCGTGATTTTCAACCAGTTTGAGGCAGGTTTGAGGCCGCCTTGTCTATGTTTTGCAGTGGTTTGAGGCCGCGTGGCCACATTCTGAGAAGTTTGCTCCACGCTTCGTATTGTGAGGCCTCGGGGACTCTTGTGCGGCCCCGGTAACTTGGGCATTCAGAGTTTTAATCCAGTTTTGCTCCCAAGTCCTCCTAGACACGCAATGTAGGCGCGCAGTGTGGTGTGGCGGAGAAGGTTGGGGCTCTTGGCCGTGACTTGGGGGAAGTTCCGGACTAAAATTCTGTTTGGCGGCAGCCTTGTTGAGTCAAAGGCGGCGTTGGGGGGACTCCAAAATTAGTATTATATAGATTCGAGTCCCCGCAGGCCTCGAATGTGTTGTGCTACAGTGTGACTCGCGCAAAAACCAAGGCCTCGGACGGGCCTCGAGAGGCCGGCCTCGAAACCTTGAAAACAAGGCTTCGAGAGGCCTCGAAAGCCCTCGAAACGCTTGGAAACGCTCGTTGAAACGCTGGGAAACAAGGCCTCCGGCAGCGCGCGACAAGTCGCGACAAAGACAGTTTTTGGCGCCAAACACAAAACGTAAATTTGTACTCCGGCCCAGCTTTGTACTCCGCGGCTCCTTTGAAAACCTTTTGTTTTCCTTTGGTTTTTTAAGTTTTCTAATACCGGACTGGCGGAGTAGCGGAGTAGGGGCCTTGGATTCCTGTGTCCCTGGCAACGAAAATTACTCCACGGACGTTGGGCCAAACAGCTTTTGTTTGGAGTTCAATTGGAGCTGACCGGCGCGGTGGGGCTGGCGAAGCTGCCTTCGGTTTTGCGACTTGGCGCTAACTCCCGGTGAAACACATTGGGCAGGCGGCCCCCAAAACTGGGTCCAGAAACCGCTCCAAATCTGAGGCCGTGTGGACGGGCCTCCCCAGTTGCTGGACGTGTGCGGCGTGCAACCTGCCATCATGCATCGCACAAGACCGCAAAGTCGAAGCGGTTGCAAGAACACTCCGCCCGCAATTGCGGCGCAGCGCAGGTGGAGCTCGTTTGTTTGCAAAACGCAGCGCAAAGCGGCCCCCATTTTGGGGCCCGGAACGTGGGCCCCAAAAGGGGGGCCGCCGAAGCTGCTCGTTATCCTTCTTAAGAACTGGGGCAGGCGGGGCTCGTTTTTGGGGCCGCTTTTTGGACCCCAAAATGGGGGCCGCTTTTTGCGGTAAAAACATCGCCGAAGCGGAATGCAACGCGCGAACACGTCAGCGCGCGCAAACGAGCCTGCCCGAAACTTTTAGTCGTCGGCCGCTCGCTTTGCAGCGCGCTAGTTCCAAAAAGTTGGCCCAGCGCGGACAGGGGAGGCCCTTCTAGAGGTTTCGGTTTTTGCTACAGGTTGTGGACCTCGTTTTGGGGAGCGGAAAGTGGCTCAAGTTTTGGAAGGTGGCAGGTCGCTTGTTCTCTGGGTGTTGGCTTAAGGGCGCGCGCACCGCAAGTCGGCCGGAGTGGCTGGCTTGTTGGTTGGTTGGTTGGTTGGTTGGTTGGTTGGTTGGTTGGTTGGCAGGTTGGGCTGATTGGCTGGCTGGCTGGCCGGTCCGTCGGTCGGTCGGTCGATGGGTTGGCTGCTTGGTTGGTTGGTCGGTTGAGGTTGGCTTGTTGGTTGAAGGCGTGGTTTCTTGGTTGGTTGACTGTGATTGGGCGGGCGTGAGTTGATTGACTGGCTGTCCAGCAGGCTGTGGTTTAGGCAAGTGCTTTGCCGCGAGCCGAATGTTTGAAGCATGTTTTGTGTAGTTGCTGATGATTTTGAGGTGGGGCGTTTGAGGCTGCTTTGAGGCGGTTTTGTTCATGATTTTCACTGGTTTGAGGTTGTCTGTTTGCAGTGGTTTGAGGCTGTGCGTGGCCGCATTCTGATAAGTTTGAGTGAAGGTTTGAAGTGCTTTCCACTTACGCTGGTTTTGATGCCTTGGGGACTCTTGTTCATGTTTTGTGTAGCTACCGGCTGCTTTGATGAGGCTGCTTTGAGTTTGAGGCAGGTTTGAGGCCGCCTTGTCTATGTTTTGCAGTGGTTTGAGGCCACGTGGCCACATTCTGAGAAGTTTGCTCCACGCTTCGCATTGTGAGGCCTCGGGGACTCTTGTGCGGTCCCGGTGACTTGGGCATTCAGAGTTTTAATCCAATTTTGCTCCTAAGTCCTCCTAGACACGCAATGTAGGCGCGCAGTGTGGTGTGGCGG